TAGATTTAAATCAGCACAGCCAGCGAAGGATCGAACGCAACTGTTTTGAACGAGTGCACCTTTTTTTAACAACCAAAAAGTGTCTGTTTCGTTGTCAGTTGAGGAAGTACAGACGTTCCTCTCGTTGATAGCAGAAGAGCGGATCCAGCTAGAGCTTGATGGGGCGATGCGGAATTAAAAAGTTTTTCAGGAGTGGTGGCAGTAGAGGCGGCGCAACTATAACGACATGTGAATAATCCCGCCCCCTCTAAATTATTTTCTGTAATTACATTTATAATTACACTGTTGACCCATCCCTTACACCTTAACCCACCCTTAAACCTACCCATACCAACAAACCTGTCCCTAACCTTACCCGTATCCCACCTCAATAGCAGCAAAAGTGTTTTGCAATACAATATGAACACAATAAGTACATTGTACTTAATTTTTGATGTAAGTACATAGTAGTTTAATATAAAGTGGGGCCTCTTATTTATATTGAAAAGAGAATATCTTGTGTTTTGTGCTTACAAGTTAATGTCTTAAACTGCCGATCTTGTCACTGTGCTAATAAATAGTGTTTTCACTATACTTTGGATATTAATATCCATTGCAGAACTGATGTTATACGGCTCGTTCAATGAATCACTGGCCGACTCAGTGATCAGCCGTAAAACCGTAATTCTGTCCAAATTCCCTATAAAATCATAAATGATTCCCTTTGAGCTAAATTGACCTGTTTCCCTTTACAGCGATAATATCGAGGGAATCACTAAACCCGCTATTCGTTGTCTTGCTCGCCGCGGCGGCGTCAAGCGTATTTCCGGGCTGATCTATGAGGAGACGCGCGGCGTGTTGAAGGTGCTTCTGGAGAACATGATTTGTGATGCTGTGACCTACACTGAGCATGCTAAAAGAAAGACCGTCACCACCATGGATGTTGTTTATGCTCGATTCCTGGAGAAAACAAAACCCCAATGGCTCTTTTAAGAGTCACCCACGATTTCACACAAAGAAAAAGTTTTTAGGTGCTGAAATAATTATTAATTTTATGGAATTTAAAAAAAAGTTTTTGTTGCATTTTTTTTTAATCAAAAGAAAAAACTACATTGAAACAGGGCTGCCAAATTTTGATTTCAGCTTGGAGTGAGAATTCACGCCGGGGGTGGGTTAGCGGTTTGTAAAAAAAACAAACGAAATAAATAAATAGGAAAAAAAAAAAAACACAAATAAAAAACCTTGCACCACAAGAAGTGTATTGTGATTTGTCAAAACATTACAATGAAACAGTTTACTGACAACGTAAAATAAACAAATTAACATGTGCGCAAAATTAAGTTGTGTTCGGTTGTAAGCGCTGGTAAGCAGCCTTAATCACTGACTGGGGTGGCTGCAAGTTTGCCAACTTTATAGTCATTATGGATGACAGTGTTCCCTCCAGAGCCAGGCTGTTTCAAGTTTTTGTTTTGTTCAATCCCAACAAGGAAAACACCCGCTCTGCATCAGCATTGGCATGGGGCAGGACTAAGACCAGTTTAGCGACGGTGGAGAGTCAAACCTACCCACCCGGTCACCTGTAATGGACATGGACAACATGGTTATGTTACACCTTTCATACATTTAGAAAAGTTACTCAACATTGGTTCAAGTTTTCAAATAAGACCCTCTAAGATTTCCGGCCTTGTTTTAAGCTTGCCATGTTGGACCAGAAGCCCACAATGTCTGGGTCTGCTGCCAAGTTAGGCGGAGGCATAGTTTGATAGTCTAGGAACTCCTCCCCCAATGCATTATGTTCCGGTGGGCTGTGGTAAGGGGGAAGATGTACATACCTTTTTTGAAGAGAAATATGTGGTTAACAACTTGCACACACTACATAGGAGATATACTTCAAAGGGCATGGTGAAATTAGTTGTTCAGAAAATATAAAATTATTCATTACTAATTTCTGAATAAAATAATATTCATATTAAAAAAAATCTATAAATTTTACCTCTCTACAAAGTACAAGACATCATCCATCCCATGCCCTCTGCCTCACATCAGCAAATCTGGCATGCTTCAGCAATTGCTCTCTCAGTGGAAGTCTTTGTTGACTATATGCCACAGCTCTCATTAGGAACCTCAGGGCTGCAGTGTGGAACTTGTCCACTTGATGGGCTGTGATGTCCCCAGCATCCAGTAGTTGGTTGAGCCTTGCCCTGGTGGTGAAGCCGAAGCTCATTTTGTTTTCAGAAATGCAGAAAACACAATAAAATCCAACATACTTCAATAAAATCAACCTATATATATATATATATATATATATATTTACACCTTTGCTTGAGCTTCATTTTTTCTAGTCATATAATTATAAAATAAATTGTATCACACACACACACACTGTCAGACTTTGTTCCGTGTTTTGTGTGTCTTGCTCCCCATGTGCCTTCCTACGCCCATATTTGGTTAGTTTCCTGTTCCTGTCCTGATTAATTAAGTTCATATGTCCCAGGTGTTTCCCTTGATGTTTCATTGCTCCCAGGTGTGTCTCGTCATCCCCTCCTCCTGTGTGTATAAATAGTGTTCCCTGTGTGTGCTC